GACAGTATTGCACGAGGTTTTTGTGTTTACAATAATGGTGTTCTACTTCCACTACAGCCGCAATTTGTGATCATGCAACGTTAATTAGGCCCTGTCACACTATTGCGTATGAGAGAAACGTATGAGAACCGTATGAAAATTAATGAAATCATTTTCATACGCACAAAAATCCTTTGAAATGCCAGCGTATGAGTACCGTACATCTGGCGTACCTCTAGCGTATTCAGCGTGTGCCTAAAGTATGCTTATCTTATAAAGCATACGTCCAATACGCACAAAATTTTTGAACATGCTTAAAAAAAAATTTCTGCCTCGGCGTATGCCAGCGTATGCAACCGTATGCGACCGTGCTTGAAACGTATATAACCTATGCCTAGCGTACCCCTAGCGTATGTAAGCGTATACCGACGTATGAGTGATATTTTTCATACGCTGGCATACGCTAGTACGATACGCAATAGTGTGACAGGGCCTTTAGGTAAACCTAAAGGCCCTGTCACACTAATGCGTATGAGAGAAACGTATGAGAAGCGTATGAAAATCAATGAAATAATTTTCATACGCACAAAAATCCTTTGCAATGCCAGCGTATGAGTACCGTACATCTGGCGTACCTCTAGCGTGTTGAGCGTGTGCCTAGAGTATGCTTATCGTATAAAGCATACGTCCGATACGCACAAAATTTTTGAACATGCTTAAAAAAATTTTCTGCCTCGCCGTATGCCACCGTATGCGACCGTGCTTGAAACGTATACAACCTATGCCTAGCGTACCCCTAGCTTATGTCAGCGTATACCGGGGTATGAGTGATATTTTTCATACGCTGGCATACGCTAGCACAGTATAGGGATGAACAGTAGTGCCACTCAGGGTCAAAAAGTGTCCCGAGCTTTTAATTTAGGTCCCAGACCTTCTACGCGGCCAAAAAATCGGCAGCCAGTAAACACACTATATGACAGCCAGTTTTAATATATAAATAAAGAAGAAAGGTTTCGAGAAAACGATATCATGTCATAAATAATACATCGATTTTTACTCCTAAGCCATGGAAAGGAAAAGGAGGACACTTAGACTTACCTGGTTATGTTTCTTGCTGTTCAAAGGTGACAAGTTTTGAAGAATGAAACAATTTTGTCGAAGCGATGAGTGATGCCCGATGGAACACAAAGACTTTGATTAAAGTTATGCTATTTACTATTTAGTAGAGGTTTTTTCTAAACATTTACATGTATTATGCTGCTATACCTGAACATGCTTTAACATGCTTTATTAATTAATATTGTACACAACTGTCGTTTGCTATTGTACTGTGCTACTGTTGTACTGTAACAAGTTTAGACTAAAAACAAAACTTTAAGGAAATGTAAAATTTCGGTATTAAAGCTTCAAGAACCGGTAGAGTAAACATATTAAAAATAATATCTTTGATTATCTTTAAATTTTGTATTTTTATCAATCTTATTTTTGTACAATTATTCAATAAACATGAAATATTATATAATGCATTTATTACAATGTTTTCAATAGATTTCATACAAATTTTAAATGTTCATCAAAATACATGCAACAGAATTATCAATTTCATGTGACAATGATGCTAATCATTATACTCAACAGATAGTTTATCTGGTTCTTCAACTTATTTTATCTCTCTTGTCCTGACAATATATTGCTGGCAATGCATCATGCAATAAATCAGCACTCAGAAAATTATTTTCACAATTATGTCTATTTAATGTCTTTGTTAAATATTAACCATTTTTACATGTTGAAACCAGGCCACATCCAACTAAACATCCAGGATAAGTTTTCATATATACAGTATTTTCTGAAAGGTAATCTAAATGGAAAGTTCATGTGAAAAGAAACAAACTAATCCAGGAGGTACTCGTACCTTTTGTTCAGCTATTAACTGCACAAACAGCAAGCTCAAAAATCCTGATCTAAGTTTTTTCCGTTTCCCATGTGATGATAAAAGGTATGAAAATCAAACAATAAATTTTCTCTTAAAATATATGCAGTAAAAGTAGACTTGAAAACCAAGGTTTTGAAAAATTGTCTTTCAGAGCAAAAGAGTGGGTTGTTCTAACCAGACGTCAGGATCTTCTAAAGAAATCCCCCAAATACTTGCACCAAAATTGCAAATTGTGTTCCATACATTTTGAGGAATGCATGTTCTCTAATGAGTCAAAGAGCAGGCTTCGACGTGATGCAAAGCCAACATTATTTAACATACCAAACCCACCTGCCAGAGTGGGTTTTAAAAGAAAATTGATTGAGAGAGACCCCATCACCCATTCTCAAGGTAATAATGCAAAATTATAACTCCTTGTAACCCATTGAGTGGCATCACTCTCCCCCTGACAAGTAAAATTGTCTGGCATTAGACAGAGTAAAATAATAAAGCAGAGACCAACTGGGCACATTGCCACTTAAAAACTACCTTGCCTTTATTTCTTTATATTGTTATATAATTTTTTGTTTTCATATTCATTTGGCAAAATAAATTTGATTGGGTCATTCCAGAAAACATCCATACCACCCCCACAGACAAAATAGGAAGTTAACCCCCTACCCCCTTTGGATGTCCTAATACACTTACTATTATCAGAAACAATTTTTTCTCCCCTCACCCTCTGGACGGCAGAAATTTCCTCCATGGGGTGAGTATGGGTCTTTTCTGGAATGACCCATTTGATTTGATAAAAGGGTTAACAGAGTTACTGTCAAGTGGCTAAATAAATTAATATTCTTCATATAGAGAAAAGACAAAAACTACAAGGGGACCCAACCGATAAAGGTATGCAAAAATATAAACAATATTTCATGTTAACAAATACAAAATTCAAGGCAACTGTGCTGCAACAATTTAAGTTATTAACCCTTAGAGTGCTGCCAGCGTTCTCTCTTTAACAACTAAAATCATCTGGCATTAGAGTAAAATCATCTGGCATTAGACAGAGTAAAATAATAAAGTAGGGTGCATCAGGCACAATGTAACTCAATGACTTAACTAGAGGCATGGCCAGATAGGCCAGTTAACCCTTTGAGTCCAAATTATTATTTTACTCTGTCCAATGCCATATTATTTTACTCATCAATAGTGCTGCCAGCCAATTTGAGCACCAGTGCAGAGGTGGCATGGAGGGAAATTTTTCTCACTTACATTTTTAAGATTTTAAAAACCCCTAGATGCACAGCAATTCAATGGTTATCCATCTTCATATTAGAATATTTTATCCTCATCCCCCACCTATCTACAATATTGAAATTGTGACCATGACTTAGTCACAAAATTTTAACCAAATAGAATCCACTACTTCTATGACCCCCTTACTTTTTTCTCACTTTTCACTTGGAAGGGGAAAGAGATGATTACTATTAGGATATTAGTAACAGTTAAGTGGAGGAGAGGCCAACAATTCTATGACACAAAACAATTTATTACTTAGAAGATATTAGGCTAATTTTATACTTAAGGTGACTGTTACATATAGATTGTACATCAAATGTCATTGGAGAAACAACAGCTGAGGAGGCAACACCTGAAAATATAACGAGATCGGAAGAATTACAAGAAAGGATTGTTGATGATGCAGGTTACATAAACACTGTGTCAGTTTCATTTTTGGCATAAATGCACTACACATGCACTGACATTTAACTTATAACTTTTAGATATTCCAGAAATAACAACTGACAATACAATAATGGTTGAAGAAAATAGCAGTTGCTCCAAGACAGATTTCTGCAGTCAGACTGAGAAAGACTTCTCAATAAATTCACCTAGAAAAAAGAAACAGAAGAAAATTATTCATGCTCAAAATAAAAAGATCAAACGGTTGCAGGCCACCATCAAGAGGTTAAAATCGAGCAAGAAAAAACAAGGAGATGCATTGGATAAAGCACTGGAAAAACTGCCCAAAAACCTGGCCAATTTCGTGAAGGCACAAATCAAACTTCATGGCATAAAGAAGAAAGGTAGAAGATACTCACCTGAATTGAAATCTTTAGCCATTTCAATTTATCATGCAAGTGGCAAAGCATACAGACTCCTAACAAAACTGTTTATTCTTCCCACCAAATCCTCATTACGTCGATACATATCCAAAATGCCAACTTTACCAGGTTTCACACAGGGAGCTATCAATATTATAAAAAGTAAAGTGTCGCAGATAGGTGAACAAGAAAGGCTTGTAACATTATGTATGGATGAAGTATCTCTGAAAACTCATTTGTATTATGACATTTCTGCAGATAAGATTGTTGGTCTTGAAGATTATGGGAGTGGATACAGAACAAACAAAGTAGCAACTTCAGGACTTGTTTTTCTTGTTCGCAGCATCACCGGGGGATGGAAGCAACCTCTTGGTTATGCATTGGTAAATGGAGCATGCCCAGCAGATGAAATGGAAATGTTGATAAGAGAGGCCATTGACAAGCTTAAAGGTATTGGCTTAACAGTTGTTGTTGTGATGTCTGATATGGGGTCAAATTTTCAAAGTCTGGCGAAGCACTTGAATATAACACCTGAAAAGCCATGGTTTATTCATAATAACCAAAAGTACTTTGTTATGTTTGATCCACCACATCTGTTAAAATGTGTCAGAAACAACTTAATGAAATACTCATTCAAATTTGGCTTGTACATTGCAACATGGAAGGATATTGACAGCTTTTACAGCAACGACAAGACTCTTGCCATACGAACAGCACCAAAGTTGACTGAAAAACACCTTCATCCAAATGGCTTTTCTAAGATAAAAGTCAAGTACGCAACACAGGTCTTCAGCCACACTGTAGCAGCTACAATATGCTCATATGTCAGCATGGGAGGGCTACCACAAAGTGCTTTGGGTACAGCTGAGCTCCTTTTTCAATTTGATTCAATTTTTGACTGTGTCAACAGCTCCACAATCCATTCTACAAAGAAGTTAAAATGTGCTATGAGTGATGCAACTTCCCATGAACGTTTTATAAAGGATTCAATTAAATTCATAATGAGCTTAGAGGTTCTTGATGGAGTCAACATTGTGACTGGACGAATTAAGTGTCTTCAAGGATGGCTGGTTACACTTAATGCTATTCTTCAAATATGGGAGCACCTAAAAACAATGCATGATTTTAAATTTTTACTCACCAGAAGACTGAACACGGATCCCATAGAAAATTTCTTTGGCGCAATCCGTCAACAAGGGGGAAATAGTGACAACCCGACACCAGTTCAATTCACTCGCGCTTTCCGTAAATTGTTTTTCAGTTCTTTCCTTGAATCTTCAACAGGTAATTGTGATCAAGACTTGGATACTCTTCTTGCACAGTTTTCCAAAGATAAATCAAATATGCCTGTCCTGGTCAGCCCAAAAGAACAGCCAAATACCCTGGACATCGGTGCTACAGATTATAGTGATAAGAATGTCGGTGATGGTCTCATTGAAGCCAATGCAACTTGTTATGTGGCAGGGTACCTTCTGATGAAATGCCTGAAAAGACATACATGTCAAGTGTGCAAGGACAAACTAATATCCAACACATTAGATGACAACAGAAAACTATTTTGTTTTTTAAAGGCATACGACACCGATAAATCAACCTTTGGTGGTTTACATGTGCCATCGATGTCCTTTTTGGACTTTGTAACGAAAATGGAAGATGCTTTTGTAGCCAATTTTCAGTTTTTTCAAAGAGTTCATGCATTGGATGGCATCTCCTTGCAAAATTAGAAAATGTTGCTGTATCTTTCCAAATGTGCGAAAATTTTCCTCTTGATTACCTACGAAAATTGTTCCTTAGGATGAGAATTTATTACTGCTTGAAGTTTGCTAATCGTGACTTATCTGCTACCAAGTCCAAGTCCAAAAAAAAGAACAAGATATACATAAAAGTTACTCACCTATAATCGTTAAATCAGAACTATTCCACGTAAAAGTACGGCTTGCTGAGTGATGAGATATGTTATGATAAACCATCAACTTGACAAAACTAACTCGTAATATAATAAATATCCAACAGGAGGACAACTCACAGCAATCACTGCAGCAACACACTCTCGTGGGAATATACCAAGGCAGAAAGCACGAACATAAACTTGAAATTTCTGTATTTCTACAGATGTTTGACAACTACAAATGTAAGTAATGTAATCACACATGTTTTTTTTCGTATAATATGTCGCTTCGATAAGAATTAATCCCGTTGTTGAAGGAAAATAGGCCATTTTGTGCTAAGACACAATTATTCTATACTATGATTTCTTGTTGTTTACTGGCTGCCAAATTTTTGGCCGCGTAAAAGGTCTGGGACCTGAATTAAAAGCTGTGGACACTTTGCTATCCCATGAGTGGCACTACTGTTCATCCCTATACTGTGACGCTAGTATACGATACGCAATAGCGTGACAGGGCCTTAAACGATTTCGACAGACAGTAGATTTTATGTTGACAGATGAGAATGACGGTAAGCAATAATGTAGAAATGTTCCTTTTCTTCTTCCGAGTGTGGAAAATTCCGAGACACAGTAGACTGTTTTTCGAAGTTGCTGGCGTGTAAGAATGACATTAGTTATCACTTGCAAATTTGTCACCCTTTAAAGCTTGTCGGAAAGAAGAATATAAATTAATTCTAATTTTCAGAACCTTTCTAATTGTTACTGAAAAAAGGAATAACATTGATTAAATAACTGAGACGTTCAAATGGGTTACAGCTGTTTGCGCTGAATTGTTTTGTATTATATCAAAATATTCCCATATTTTTATACAATAAGAAATAATGTAAATCCTTGAAGCATAGCCTTGAGCAAAGTGACCCAGGGTCGGCCTGAAAAAGTTGATTTTTTTATACAGAACCCGTGACTTACTTGAATTCTAGTTTCATTGATAATTGTTTCTAAACCTAGAGACAATTCAGTTGCTAGAAAACTATACTGAGCGAAACTAACGAAATATTGACATTTGACATCATTGCCCGGGGTTTCCCCCGAGATTTAATTCGTACATTCTAACGAAACTTTTATAAAACAGTTTAAAAACGATGAAAATTCTGTCTGTAGTATGACTAATTCTGAGTTTTCCAATTTCATTGAACATTGTTATTTGTTAAACATGTATTTGTTAAAGAGGTAAACAAAGCGAACAGAGCGAAGATTGTATAGTATGTCACAATCAGGACTCGTGGCATTGAGGCGCGCAGAACACACTGGACACACTGGCATTGAATGACTCTATCCGTGAAGCCAAACTGTACTCAAACAATTTGATTCAAGCGCCAAACCAAAGAATAATGATGAAAGACATGTATTTACATATTGAAGCTTCATTCAGTGTGGTGTAAGGTGATTTTATCTGTTAATATCAATAATTATGTTTACCAATAAAGTATTCTCGATTTCGACACATTTTCAAATTTTACAAAGTTTGCGCGCTTCTCATTTTTGTCAAATGGTAGAGCAGAAAGATATTATTGGCGATTTGTGTTGACTAATGTTAGTAGTTTATAGAAAAGTTAAAGTCATGTGCCAATCAAGTGCCACGATTTTGGAATAAGCTTTCGAAGTTGACATATTTTGAGACGATATCCTTTATCCGTTCGGGAGGGTCAATAACTGCGCTGTTTTCTATTTTATACCAAAGAATAATGATCTAAGTTGTATCACCGACGAAAATAGAAGGATAAGTCTATATTTCTGAGCAAAAATTTTGAAATTTAGGTATGAATTTGATTTGAAAAATAGCGCTGAAAATATGTCGATATTTGGCCTTCATTCGGAGTATCAAGTTGGTTACCAGTCGATCGAACATCAATCGCCCCCCAAAATAATTTAAAGGAAATTTGAGCAAAATGACATCGATTTTAGTTGTTCCCAAGGATAGATCTTCAAAATACTAGAGTATGAGAGAAATCTATTTTTGAGCCCCATATTGACCTGGAGGTTTTTACGGAGACAGCCTCTTAAGACGCCTGTTCAGGAGGTAGGAAAAGTCCAATTTGAATATCAAACATCTTGCACAAAGTCGAAGGGCGGCTGAAAGTTCTAATTCTACTTTCTTGGCATGGGTGGTTTTATATGAATATCTTCAATGCTTGTAACGTCTTGCTGTTGTATAATTATAATACTGTCAGTGGTGAAGCTAGCCATAGCAACAGGTCATGCTATGCAAATTTTTAATGATTTGCATTTTTCAAATAGATGCAGGTTTATCAGTATAGTATGCATATGGCCAGTTGCCATGGCTACCTTGCCACTGAATACTGTACAATGTTTATATAAAAATACTAAGGGCCTGTTTACATGGAGGCGAGTTACCCGGCAAGGCGAGTTACTCGGCAACGGTGAGATCCCGGCTGTTATAGAAACTAATAGTAATCCCGGGTGGCTGTTTACATGATGCAGCCGGTGACTGTTTACACGTGCTTTGCCATTGAAATATAATAGCTCAAAAATACATACGAATCAATAGATAAGTTTTCCTGAATTGCTCGGCAATTATTCTTGTACTTTCACTATATTTTGTAATGTTTTTAGCGTTTCAAACGACTTAAATTCTTTTTCTGTTTTGGCGCCATTTCGGCTTCATGCGGCAATCATGCGACAAATGTCGAGTAACTTGGTTCCATATCAGAGGAGGGTGGAAGCTCTTCCCAGCATGCATTGCAACTCATTAATATTCACAATCATGATTTTTCACAATGTTAGTTGGAAAAGTTGTGGATATTTATTTCGATATTTCGCCACGAAAAGTTCGTATTTTTGAAGGTAAGTTTTTATAATTGTTTTAAATATGAGTCAAATTAACGATTTTTGCTTTATTTGGTGTTTTAACAACGTTTAGTTATATGTTAATCGCAATTTGTATTGACCTGTTTTCCGGGTCAATGCACAAGTGTCAAAAGTGGCTTTCAAAACCGCTGGGGACAATTGGGTTTATAAATGAGTAAATTAAATAAAAGACACGCCATCGTATTCAGGAAGAGTTGTTCTTTCTATGAGATGTTTAAAAAATGAATTGTCCCCATCAAACTGACGAGTAATCGCGGTTTGAAAATGGGGCATTTTCGATATACTATGTCGCCCATCGCGGGAATAGTCGACCGCATGGGAATTATGGCGCGAAGAAAATTACTGTACGAGTCGTTATTATTTTTGTTTTATTTCGAAGCATGCGCATATATGTCGATCGTTGTTGAGTTTAACTGCTGCTTTTAAGTTAAATACACTGTATTTTACCATTATTTTTATAGAATTCGAATATATTTTGTGAAAATGGAATCTGATAATGATGGCAATGTTGTTTATATTGGCTTATTGCATTTTTAATCCACACACCCCCTATGGAGGACATCCATTTTTTGGACCCCCTCCCCTGGAATTCCGCAGATGTTGATGAATTTCCACCCTACCCCCCTGGAATTCCGCGATTTTTTACAAATTTCCAGCCTACCCCATGGAATTTCCACAGATTTTTAACGAATTTCTACTCATCCCTTGGAAATTCCACCAAATGTTTTGACCTATAGTCTCTGGAATTTCCACATTTTTTGTTTAATAGGTAACCATCCCTTGGAATTTCCATGTTGTTTTTTTAACCTACCCCATGGAATTTCCACAGATTTTCTTTAAAATTTAGACCCTCCCTTGGAAATTCCGTCTTTTCTTGTTGAATTTTAGGAAGGTGGGCCTGGAAATTCCAGTATCCTCCATAGGGGGTGTGTGGTTTAAAAATGCAATAAGCCATTGTTGATCCTAAGTATGGGAAAAGTTGAACTTATGAATTTAATGCTGATTTAGAACTGTTACGGAGCAAACTGTTCCTACATCCTGCTTTGGCAAATGGTATAACATCTAATCCAGCCAAGTTGTGCTCATGATCCATTCAACTGATTCAAGCAATGAAACTATTGAACCAGAATAATAAGAGCAACCTGTTATATAAATTTGCCCATACCAGCCTTTTAATAGATTTAACATTTTACATGTAAATATTGGTGTATTGGTAACATGAAAATGTTGCAGTGAATCTTAAGTATTTACTTTATATATTGTAACTTTGAATAAAGCATTTTATTAACATCAATTATGTATGACCACTGCATTTATATGACCAATATCAGGGGTGGATTTACTGGGGTGTGTGCACCCCCCACCTAGCCCTGGCCAGAAGGTATGCAGGGGGGGTGGGTATTTTCATGATAAAGCAAAAAATATTAGAGACAAAATGAGTAATTTGAGTAATAACATGATGATAAGTAAACTGTTAACAAGTCTTTAAACTGTTTGTTAACAACTGTTTGTAGTCAAGCAAAACTTTGTTGTAGTCAAGTAAGTTGATGGGTGGGTGGTGCACCTGACTGACACAACTCGGCACCAGAGCTGGCAGAGCACCCTCCCTACCACATACTGGATCCATCTTTAGATCAGTGATCCATCTGTGCTAAATATACAACAGTTAAAAAAAACACATGCACAAGGTGGACTATAAGATAAAGTAGGGATTTGATGACTGCAGTAAACAAACACAGCAAATTGAGTTTGAAAACATTTATTTATTTGAAAAAGGAATGGTAAAATTATATTTAACAATTATTCGCCGAAGGCGAGGTGATTATCAGGGAATATTTGCTGAGGTGAATATTCCCAGATAATCACAGAGCCTGAGGCGAATAATTGTTTTAGTATTTTTGCACAAGTTTTTTTGTATTTTTCTGGTCTGAATTCATTTTAATTTCG